TCCTTTTAAGTCCTTTTTTTGGAAACCTCGAGAGTATCTTCCCAGGGGTAGTACCATCCCCATTCAAATTGGTACAACACCCATATACCTAGAGCCGGGACCCACAGGCTCAGGACCAGGTGAGCACACCACTTATTTCTATAAATACTGTGTTTTACAAACACCAACTACACATTGGTCTGCTTCTCCTATCTTTTGTCTTTGAGAAACACCCTACACCGAAGGAGACGGGCGGTGCTACCCAATAAAAGCACACAAGTCAAAATACGGAGCCAGTGTTCTTATATACAGGCTCCTAAAAATGTGAGTGTTCCATTTATCAAGACACTACCATTTTAATTCTAATTTTAATATAATTTTATTATTATCTTAAAACCATCTGCACTATATTGTATCTTTTATATTGTTCTTTCGACATGTACCTTATATTTTAATATTGAATGAGAAACCATTTGGTAAGCTATATGTGTTAAAGCGCTGCACTTACTGGTATAAGTCTTTTGTCACTTACACCGCACTAATAATCACCACCACAACCACTTACAGATCTATAGGGTTCCCACCTCCCAGTGCCCGGACTGCAACCACAACCACTTACACACCTATAGGGCTCCCGCCTCCCAGTGCCAGGACTTCCACCACATTCACTTAAATATCTGTAGGGCTCCCACCTCCCAGTGCCTGGATTGCCACCACAACAACTTACACATCTATAGGGTTCCTAGTGCCCGGAGTGTCACCACAACCACTTACACATCTATAGGGCTCTCAGTGTTAGCTAATTGGACAATATTCCTGTCATCATTCATGTAATTTTTCCTCCCTCTCTCTTGCCCCTTTTCAGAAATCTGAAGCACTTTGGAACTTTGCCAATTCAGAACTTCAGCAAATCAGCACTTCGGTTCGTTTCGGCACTTTGGAACTTTGGAACTTTGGCACTTCAGACATTCATATGCATCCAAATGCCCGAATTTCACAAAATTCGTCCGAATATACATTCGGAACGAGATGAATTGTGCATGTCTACACTGTGGTAGGATTTGTGCCATTTAATCTATAAAGCAGAAATTCCAAACCCAGCCTATCTGTGCACAGCCTGAATTGATCACAAGAAAGCTTCACACATGGATACTGGAATGCGTGGTTCTAAACAAGGTCAGCAAGACACTAACAACCTTTAGCAATAACTTAATGGATAAGTGGAGACCAACCGTAGAGGCCTATTCCAGAATAACTACTCAAGTGAACATCATATGTGACATATCTCAGTGCTGTTCTACATAGGCCTCAACCTTCTTAGCCAGATCATGAAGAGTGAATACAGATACAAGCATGAAGCTACCACAAATCACCTCTTCTAAATGGACGACATTAGGCTGCATGCAAGAATAAACAAGGATTCGACTCACTGATACACCTAACTAGGATATACCGCACAGACATTGGATATACCTGGGGATATCACAAACACATGGGAACCACGAGGAAGAGGCAAAGAGGACAGCAACTACCAGTCATCAGCTGAGATAATCACCTACTCAAGAGCTGGGCCCCATGAATATTATGTCCTGGATCTTTCTCACTATAAATGGAGGATCCCACCCAAAATCCAGCACCTAGATAGAGTACACCATGAGAAGGAAGTTGGGAGTCAAGTAAAGTGCCAAATAAACAGAATTCAAATTTACTTTTTTTTGAAGTTTTATATATAACCAATGATTTCTTTAGTGGAAAATACTGGAAGTTTCCAAAATATTATTTAGATAGTAGCCTGGAATGGCCTCGGGAAGGAACAGCCTGCTATCGGGATAAAGGCAATGAAGCATGCTATATGGACTTAGAATTCTGGTTTGAAGATCTGTGTAGAGTGCAGACACCCAGTCAGCTGGTTAAGCATTCAAAAATGTAATAAAGTTTGGCCATTGCTTTATCCACTATAATATAGTTGGTGAAGTAATGGGGTTTATGCAAGTTAGTGGGTGGTGGCTACAGTATCTGCAGTCAAGTGACCCCCTGCCCTCCTAGTAAAGGGGGTCATGACTGCTGGCACATGTGGTTGAACTAGTAAGCTTCTGTGGTATCAATGCAGCAATGTTTCAACCAGGGACTTGTATTTTAAATTACCACTAAGGAAGCGCACAGCTTTTCCCTTCCCTCTCCTTATGCAGCAATGTTTGGAGTTATTTCCTCTAGACTTTAAGCTCTTCCTCTAGACAGTAAGCTTGCTTGAGCAGGGTCCTCATCTACCTATTGTTCCTGTCCCATTAATTGTTACATAAATATTGTAAAGCACTGCGGAATAAGTTGACTCTATATAAATACCAATACTAATAATAGTAATTTGTTGATTAATTGTGTTTGTCTTTTTTGTCACAGATCATCAAGAATGCCTGAATTGAGCTTGGTTACAATCTTATTCTAAGTGAATCACCATATTTCTTACCAGAGACCCCCTAGGACAGAAGTTTTACTTTGAAAACCTGAGTAAGTGATTAGGACTTCTGTGATTTTATCCCTTTTGTTTTTATCTGTTGTTAGCGTAAATAATTTGATTGTCATCTATATTTTTTGTATGCACTGTGACAATTTTTTGCTCATAAAAAATATTCCTTTATTAAGTTCTGCCTTTGTCTGGTAAAGAACCACGTTACCTGAAGAGACTAATTAGTATTTTGCAATTACATGGATATTGTGCTGTTACATTTGGTGGGTTTTTAATTATTAAATTACCTGGGGGACCAAGGCACCCCATTTATGAATTGGCTTGGTGGTGGCAGCGTTAAAATAATAACATTTATCTTATTATGCTTAAGTGTGGATGGTGTTTAGGAGGATTTTATCATTATTTCCGGTCTTGTGCAGACAAATAGTGAACTTTAACCCTTTCACCGCCACAACTACATCACGCACATTCTTGAAGTAGGGTGCGTTTGTGACGGGGGAGATACCATTGTTCACCTCCAATTAAAAAAGAAATGCTTAATAATAGTGAGAGATGGGCCCAAATAATGTAATATAAATACAAAAAGTACCATGGGATGCTTTCTTTCTGTTTATGAATATTAGAGATCCCACCTGTCACCCATGGGTAGGGGCTGGGAGGGACATTAGGTCAGAAATAACCAGCCGTAATAAGTAGTGTTTATATATAACAATTAACAGAAAACATCTATATACTCAAACCATAATAAATAACACATAGAAAAATAGGTACCACAAGAAAGAAAAGAATGCCAACACCAGAGGAGGATTGCAAAAGACGTCAGTGAAAACAACTTTCTCCAATGTTTCAGCACAAAGCTTTTCTAATTTTTCATAAAGACACTCTGGATGTTGTTGGGATTTAATGGTACATCTGGATGAAATTTGTTAAATAAAAATATAGGACAAGCATACTATAGTTTCTTTTTGGAAAAACAGATAGAGATCGATTAACAGCGCTAAAAAAAGCTTTTGTTGGCTTTTTGCAGGCTCTACAAATACACAAAAATAAGTCCTGCGCTCAAACTCCCACTACTTCTGGGCGGCAACAACGACCATAGTACACATTAGCCCCAATACATACAAAACAACCTAAGTAAAAAAGAATTACCTGCCTAAAACCCTATGTATATTTAAATAAATGGAGGTTATTTAGTAACTCCAATGGCCATTAGATGTAAGCCCACCTGCCATGTCAGGTTTTTTCAGGCTCTACCTACCCATACAACGGAGACCCACATTATTTGTTCTGTTCTGTTTATGGTTAGATATACTACTCAAAGGTTGAGCTAATAAACATGCCAAGATATTGAGGCACAGCATGTTCTGGATATATACCCCTCAGATTTGCTTTGTCTGCTCAACCAGGATTATTCTGTAATCTAAATGTTGGATAACATATTATAGTAGTATAATTTTCACAATCAAAATTGAATTCCAGTGCAGATCATAAAAGAGGCCCACAATCTCAAATCAAGTGCAATCATAAAAATGCTTTTGCTCAAATACACACAGTAAAAGTGTTCATTCTACAATACAATTTGTCCTCTATAATTAAGTTTGGTGTTGTGTGTAAAAATACCATACGAATCTTCATAAATAATTGCAGTAATTTATGAAGATTCATTCAGTAATTGCAGTAATCCATAAAACCTCAAGAAAAATCCATAAAACCTCAAGAAAAAAAGCAAAACAGACAATAGTGCAAAAAGCATACACAATTCTAGCTCACACTTTTAGACTCTTACATGAATGGCTCTTTCAACAGAGCATTTTTTTTTTTAAATTTAATATTTTTATTGTGCATATTTGATTGTATCACATAAGCTTGTGGTGCCCGACAGCAGTCCTTAAGCGCATTACTTCATACAACATTAGGAGCATAGATAAAACTTGCACATTTTTTCTTTTAAGTGAGTGAGTATAGTCATGAAGCTTAAGTGTCATGATGTCTAAGTGTACAGGCTATAGTTACAGGAGTGTGAGATCGCTTTATGGATGTCCGAGTGTCGACTTTTGTCGAAAGGCTAAAGTTGCCACGGGTTAAAGGGCCTAGTGTATTCTAAGATTTGTGGTACCGTTCCTCGTGTCTGGTAGGGCCTCAAGTGACATTCGTGCTCTGTGTTCTGTCGGAGCCATGTGGGTGGCTGTGCTAGGAGCATGTGGAGTGTGTACCTGCATTATGGTGCTTCGTGCTGGAAGTGGGTTTGCCAGGTTGTCAGGTGTATGTAATCGAATGCGGAGCTGTGTTAGCAGGTATGGGAGCATGAGAGTCCCGGATTTGCATGAACAATCCAGTAAATCAGGTTGGTGTGGGAGTCCCTGGACAGCTTTTGCCTCGGCTTGACAGTGGGGCTGGAGGGAAGAGTGTGGTCGGAAGGCGGTGCTCGGGCGAGTTCTCCCCATAGCCCTGAAAGCCTGCATCTCCTGGCCATGAACCGGTTATCTCCTGTGGGTCCCGGGTCCTGTCCTTGTGGAGGGCTGTAGTGTGTCCCGGTGGAAAGCCACCGTTCATGGCATTAGGTCCACTGCGCCGGTGGCCAATGCTTTGGGAGTATTTCCCTGGTGGCCTTCAGCCCTGGTGGGCCCATTGTGCGGGTATTGGCTCTGCAATTTAGGGAGTGCCCAGGGGAGATCCGCTCTCCGTTCGCCTCACACCCACCCACTCGCTTGTTGGTGGTAGTGCTGTGGGCTGCTTGGAGGGACCCACTGTTTTGTCCTGGAGGGAGTTCAAGGACACGTTTCAGGTCTGTGGCATGGGCACCCAGTTGTTCCTGATCGTCTTGCTCCGTGTTGTCTTGTCGAGTGCTGCCTTGTTTGCACTTCACTGCTTTGCTGGTGGTTGGGCCTTGCGGCAGTTGTGGTTGTCGCCTGTGGGGACCGAAATATTCCCCCCCGGTCCGGGGGGAGGGACAGGACTGGACCCGCCACGGTCAAGAGTGTCTGTCGGGCTACGTTAGGCAGGATAGTGGGGCAGCGGCCATCTACTCCACTCACCACCGGATAAGGTCCCGCCGGGATCAGCGGTGATCTCTCCTCTGAGGGAATAGAACTCCGGGAGCGAGCCTCTCATCGGATCCAGCAGCCCGTGCTCATCGAGGGTCATGGTTACAGGTTGGATAATTCACCAGAAAGTATGGTATATTGGCTTCATAGATTGTAATTTGCAGGACCTGATCATTCCTGTGACCGTCCATCTTGGCGGTCCAGCCCCGCCCCCCTCAACAGAGCATTTTAAGGGTAATTCTCCACTTCTTCCATCAACTTTTATTTCCTTTATACAGAGCAGTACCTTAAAAGGAAAGAAAAACATATGGTGCAATTCTGAAATAGCATAATTTGCTTAAAAAGGGTTATATCCCAACACTCACATACTCTGAAGCCATTCTAGTGTGAACCCCAACAGGCATAGTCTGAATCAGGGCCAGATATCGCTCACCAGGTGCTCCTTCCCTTGTTTCACCAATGACTTAAGATCCAGACTAGAGCACCCTTTCTTATTACTCTCTTCAATCATGTGTTTCACAGACCTCAAAACAAAAATTACTAGGTATCCCTATATAACTCTGGGAAAAACATATTTGCAAACTGCTGTAAATCATTTATTTATCTTTTTAAAGTAAACTGCTCTTTTTTGGAATTTTAAATATTGCATTATACACCTGGTTGATAAAGGGAAAGACACAAAGACCTGTGATAGAGAGAACAAAAGAGCCCAAAAAAGTTTTTTTGTTTTTTTTAATGAAGTTATGTTCCCTTTTTACACAGTCTGTATAGTAAATTGAAGCAATATAATCATTTATATAAACCATACAAATTTAGTTTGAAAAACAATTTTTCATAACAGTTTAGCAAAATGTCAAGCTGTAAGTCTGTCTTTTTCAAAATGGAGTTCTACATGACAAGCAAATTCTCTTCTTCTTTTAATAAAACGCTGTTCCATTGCAGGAATGTATCGTTATATAGGAATTTTAACATTATTAGATGTTTTAGCACAGACAATCCTGTTCATTAATTTAGCAAGTTGAGAGGAGTCTTATGTACTCCCACATACAGTACATGGCTTCTAGCAGCAACTTTGAAGAAACACAATTCCAGCACAATTTAAATAACTAACCTTCCACAGATCATATAGGAATATGTAATTGGAAATGTTGATATCTATTTTACTGTAACATTCTCATATACTGACACAAATTTTAATATTAAAAGGAAAATACAGCACAAAAATGATTTATCATTAAATGTGTGGGTGTATGTACATGCATAAAGATAAACACCTAAACAGATGTCAGAATATATAAAATGAATTGTTTACTTTATAGTTTTATCTGCTGTTGTTTGCTAAATATTATGATACCAAAATATGTGTGGTCAGTGGTACCACTCCATCTTACTGGAACCTCATTACAGGGTTGCTTAAAAATCACAAACAATCTCATAGTCCTAGAAAGTGGCTATTCTGTAGGATGAGTAGGTCTCATAAGAGCAATCATTTGGTCATGTAAAAGCCTATGTCACGGCTGCTAGTGTGGTCCAACACGCAGAAACTATGCAAACATATACATACAAAAGAAAAGGAAAATAAAAGGACAGAGCGTAAACCGGACCTTAGAATGGCCGGACTAATACGCTAGAGATAGAGAATGGTCAAAGGGAAAGCCGAGGTCCAGGAAGCCAGAAATACTCAGATACCATTTAAACAAGTCAAGTCAGGTGAACCAGAATTCGGAATAACCAGGGAAAAGCCAAGATACCAGGAAGTAATATTCACAAAGATAAACGCACTCTAGGGAACCAGGAACAGGAAACCACGACAGGGCAAGGAAGTAAAGGGAATTAGGGATTTAAATATCTCTCTCTGGCTTCTGACTGGTCAGAGGGTGACCTCTGACCACAGAACGAGCGCGTGCGTTGACGTTGTGACGTCATGCGCACGTTTGTATTCATTAGAGGGACGGAGCTTAAGATGGACGCGACCACGTGGTCCGCGCCATCTTTGATTTGGGCCCGGAGAAGGCAGTGGAGCGGCTCCCGGCTCGCCGACGAGCAGTTAAGCTTGTGGTGTCGGCGAGACCGTGCCAGTCGGGAGCCACAACAGCCTATCACTCAAGTCAAATGTATTAATCTTATGAGAGCAGTGTACATTTTAGGATATTCATTCTCTTTTTTAAAACACAATTCTTCCTTCTCCTTCCTTCCAAATCCCATGAATCATCGACTGAAACTCCATATTGGCTACTCAAACATTCTACTCTTCCTTATGTAGGCATTAGAAGCCAGAAACCAAGAATCATACTTCAGAAGTCAGGCTTCAGAATGCAGGCAGCAGGAGTCAGATAACACTAGTAAGACATCAAGTGTCATATATCAGAAGCCAGATACCATGCATCAGCAATCACGATATAGACATGAGATATCAGGCACTGGGATCTGTTTCTGTGAATGTTGCATCTAGTGGCTGCATGTGCATGTTGGATGTGTATTGGGGAGATGAGTGATATGTGTGTGGTGGCTGAGTGTTGTGTGTGGAAAATGCTGAGAGCTATATGGGGAGAGGTGTGAGAGTGCTGTGTTTGTGGTGTCTGAATTTTGTGTATGGAGGTGTCTGAATATGTTGTCTGTGTAGTTACTGAGTGTTTTTTTAAGGATTTTTTTAATCTGTCCCTTCTTGCTTATATTTTGGCTGCAGGTGGTTTACTTCTTTTGCGGTCCAGTGTTGAATGAGCTGAGCATCAGGATCCTGGGTGGTCCGGTAGATGGTGAGCTTGATTTCTGGTGGTCCGGATCACTTAAAGTACTTCCTCATAGTCCAGCACTCAGTTATTGACTTAGAGTGCTGGCTGCAGCATTCTGAGTCACGAAGAAGTGCCAGGCAACAGCAAGGGAGCTTTTAAACTGATTTGCATCAGATAGAGTGACAACAAAGCACCTTCAAGCAGGTGAGGGGGCAGGGCAAGCTTTTGGGGTGCTTGAGCTATGCAGCCACATAGGGCACCATGGCAACAAGGATTGGATATTACATAAGGGGGATATATTAGGATACTACCTGTTGGGGAATTGGATACTACCTAAGGGGAAGAGAATGAGATGCTACCTATGGTAAGAACATGGGATACTACTTACGGAGGAGTAGGATACTACCTATGAGGGAGAGAATAGGAAACTACCTATGGGGAATACTACTTATGGGGGGATGTGATCTCGAATAGGGGGGAGAGAATGGGGTACTAAATATGGGGGGAAGATTAGAAATCTACTTATGGGGATGAGATTAGAATTCAACCTATGGTGATGAATGGGAAACTACCTATGGGGGGAATTGGATACTACCTATGACGGTGAAACTGGCATACTGCCTATGGGGGAAATAATGAGATATTACCTATGGGGGAGGGAAAATGATACTACCTATGGGGGAGAGGATGAGATACTACCCATGGGAAAATATTAGGATACTACTTATGTGGGAGAGATTAGAATTCTACATATGGTGGTGAATGGGATACTACCTATGGAGGGTGAGATATTATCTATGGGGAAGAGAATGGGGTACTATCTGGGGTGGAGGGTACTACCTATGAGGGAGAGAATGGGATACTATCTATGGGGAGAATGAGATACTACCTATGGTGATAAAATAGGATACTACATATGGGGGTGATGAGATACTACCTATGTGGGAGAGAATGGGAAACTACCTATGGGGGGGAGAATGGGATACTACTTATGGGGGTGATGAGATTCTACCTATGGGGGGTAGAATAGGATACTACCTATGGTGAGAATAGGATGCTACTTATGTTGAGAATGTGATTCAACCTGGGGGGGAAATGGGTTACTACCTCTGGGGGTAGAATGGGGGAGAGGATGGGACCTTTTGGGAGACCTTTGGCATTAATAAGAATGGGCAGTTATAAATGGTTGGAGGCATTAGATGAATCACATGTGGCCAGGGAGAGGAACTGTGAAAATGTCTTGCACAAGGCATCAACAGACCTTAGATATAATAATGAACCCAAGGCACACCAAGGTTTGCACATAAAAGACCTTTATTCATGCATTGAAGAAATACATCAAGTAACTTTAACAGAGAAAAGTGCATACCAAATCAATAGTACCAGTACCACAATAGTAATAAAGTGCCAATTACATGCACCCATAAAAAAGGTATATTGACCAAGAGCAGGAGAAATGAAAACCCCAACGTTTCGGCTCTTAACCCTTCCTCTAATCAAAACCAGCGCTGTGAGGGGGCACAAGACTAAGCAGGTAGCTCTATTAATCCCCTGGCAGGTCAAGTAGGGACCCACATATCCAGAGCTAGAAGTTCTAGGCCCAAACAAGGGTCCCACTAGGTACCTATCTGAGACCCGGCACTAGGCAGCCATCTATGTCATTTTATGGGTAATATGGCTTAAAAAAGGAGTTAGATTTCAGGAATTGAGCATCAGGAGTCAGACATCAAGAATCAGACACCCACCATCACTAGTCATACATCAGCAGAGTTATTTACTAAAGGGAAAATTCAGAGTGAATTCAAAGTGAATTTTTTTTAATTAATTTTTAAAGTTCATTTTTTATTATAATTTTGCAAGTTAGACAAATATTAAACAATATCAATCATTTGGATTCATCAACATCTTTCGAATCCCAACAAACAAGATCAATATATCCAAATATTACGAGTCTACATCTATTTCATTTCCCAAGTTAAGCATTTTTAAAACATTAATATCTGGAAATATAGTCTTGAGTTGAGCCTTTTGTCAAAGATTAAACGTCAAAGAATAAATAGTACAGTACAATGCAAGAAAACACATAAATAAGACCTACAACATAAAAAATATTGGGTCATCTATCGAGATCTGTGAGGTGGACAGAATCAATGTCGCTTCTTTAATATATTCATTTAGAAATTAGCACCAGAGCCATTTTCGGAAAGTTATTATTAGTAGTTTATCTTATAGGTGCATCTATGCCAGAGTTATTAGTTTTACTAAGCCATAGATATTCTATTCTTTATAGTAATCAAAACCATTTTATCCATATCTTATTATAAGAGTGTGGCGG